AAGAAGAATATATATAATTCCTAACATAAATTTGTCTCAATTATTGAGGGGTTGTGCAATAGCTACTTACATGTGATCTCATCAATGGGAATGACTTAGATAACATTGGTCCAACTAAACAACCCAAAGGCCAACTTTGACCTTTCTGCATTGCATGTTCTCCAAGTAATGATATAAGTTGAATAATTCGTTCTGCATGCTCACTGTCTGTTCCCAATTTGCCATCATCATTAAACAAACCCAGACAATTCTCCTCAAATTCTGCAGAGAAAGCTGAGAACAAATCATGCTCAAGCGAATAAATGCCTGAAAGAATCCCAACAATGCAGTTCCCCAACTCTCTCAAGTAGCTCATTGGGTACATAATATTCAATGTTACCACGGTCTTCTCATTGGAAATCAAACCACTTTCACATGAATCTGCTGATAATCTGGATAAGGTTTTCTCCTTATGTTTTGAGCTACTAGCAAAATGGTACTCTTGCCACAATAGCTTTACCAGAACATTTTTAACAAGATTTACTTGAAAATGAGAGATGGAATCCACTTTGTCACAATATCTGGTATCAGAAAAAAAAAAACAATTAAAATATGAAAGTACAAAAAAGAGGAAGAAAAATACATAAACTGAAAATCCCGCTGGGCACAAAACCAGATGGATTCACAAAATTATTGAACACCATCAGAAAAAAATCTCACCTTGATGCATTACGCAATCCCCAAAGAAAGCAGTCTTTAAAAGCCCCAAGAAATGCTAATCTATCTGCATTCAAGGAATGAGATGGATTCCTTCCTGCCCATAGATTCTGGAAAAATTCAAGCAAAAAAGTTTCTCCCACTACTGCTTTAGACGGCACAGTGTCTAAAAAAGGTAGTAAAGCTGGATAAGAAATCTGCTGAGATCCAAAGCACCCATTTCTAAGAAAATTCCAAAATCGATTTAGTACTACTTTCTGTACATTAATAGAAGTCCAACTGTCAGGAAACCTTTTAGAAAATAGCAAAACTGCATCCCACATTGATGAATGACAAGCAGGATCCGTCTCCTGAAATGCACCAAATACTGCAGCAGCAAGAGTTTTCATGTTTCCTTCACTAAAGGCATGAGGAATGTTTCTAATGAAACTACTTAATACAGAATATGTGGCTGAACGGATAGCAGAAATCGGAGATTTCAAGAAGTCTATAAAATATTTATGAGCAGTGAACAACTTTTCAGCAAAAGAAATAGCTGTTTCCCTAGCTTTCAAAGCATGTTTTGGTGGAGCATATATCCTCTCAGAGTCTGTTCTTCCTTCTTGTTTGCAAACCAAGACATCAAGAAGTGTAGCCAATGCCAGAATTGAAGAAGATATCACCTGCAATACAACAGGATAAGAAACATTAAATCTGAGACTATTGTTTCATTAAGTTCTTCTAATGAGACATATGCTCATGGTTTAAAGCATATTACACTGGGATGAGATAACATATTCTAAAGCATACCTGCTGATGCATCTCTTCTAATTCATCAATAGCAGTTGCTTTTTCAGACATACTTTGCGGCGTAAGCCTCAGATTTTCTTCCAAATAGGTAAAAACCTCTGCTGTGCATAAAATCAAAGCATCGAGTCTCTTTTCCTGAGCTGGAAAAGCTGCCTGTTGTGAGCAACAATTACAGTCACGTCAAGAGTTAACCCAAAGTCGTATATGAAACAGAAAAAGGAGTTTCAAATAATAGGACAATCAGCACCAGGTTTGAACAACAAAACAATCTTCATAGCCCCCCGCAAAAAAGAAAGAAATAATTGAGAAGAAAATATTACAACAAGTGTGGATATGGTGAGAATAAGTATTATGAACTTAAGGCAACAGTACCAACGGTTAAAAGAAGGCTGGACCAGTTTGAGGCCCAAGTACACCACAAATGTGTGGTAGGTAGCCCAGGCCAAGAGATCAAAGCTAAAGCCCGGACAAAAAATTGCACTCTGGAATAGCATATCTCCAACCAATAAAGTACCATTGAGGGGGCATACTCCACTGCATTCAGCCTAATAGGGTTGCACCTATTCCATGCAATATACTTGATAGATTATTATACTCAATACATTCCTTTTCGATGAGAATATACTTGATAGATTCTGAATTTTCTACATTAGGCTCAGCCCTTAAATTTTTGTGTTTCCTTTGAAAAAGGGATAAAATTCACAAATTTCTAAAATACAACACTCATTTTCATTCTTCAAGTAGAATTTCAATAGTTCTATTGATGCAAAATCTAGCGTTTTGAGGGCAATATCTAATACTAAGCAACACAAAAAATGACAATACTTCGCAAAATAACCTGTAATGAGCGCTTTGCAGCTTGAGCAACTTCAGAAAGTCGGTCGAATTGAGAAAACCACCATGGTCCCATCAGAGACTTTAGATGTGGAGCTAAATCTCTCCTAAACAAGCAACCATGATTGTCTCAGTGCATTTAGGAAAAGTCAAGCTAATCAACATTCTAAACAGCTAAATGAAAGGTCATAGTCAGTACATGATGCTCTTACACATGCAACTACTATGCATTGACAATAAAGGCACTTCAAAGCATAGGGATTTAATCATGTTAAAAGAGGTCCTATGTGAATAAAGTTTACAAAATGCTAAAAAGAGGTCAGGGGATGCCGAGGCAGGGAGGGAGGGAGATTCTACACACAATGTAACTATGTGAAAAAAGAAAAAAATATAGCATTTACAAAACCATCACATGGTGTGTGGATTATTAAAATTATTGTGCTGTTTTCAAAGAGAATCCTCACCTCACATAGGAGCTTATCCATCAAGCTAAAAATGTATACAACTAACAAACCAAAGCAATGAATTTTCCAGGGTATACCCGACAAGATTTAAAGCTCAGGATAGAATTCTCCTTTAAATTCACAGATTTCAAAACAATATGTTTTATCCGTAAACAACAGGCAGAAAAGTAAAAAGCGAAAGTATACAAACCCAACAGCAGTCACAAGATTGTTCATCGTGTCATGAGTTGCTCGCCGAACATCCCTATTGTAGTCCACCACAAGCTTTTTGTATTCAAATGCCTACAAAAAAAAAGAGTGGCGTAAGTCTAAATTACATGAAAAAGTTAGCCAAAACTAGCCAAAACTATAATGCAAGATACATACTTTTGCTTTAACTCTAATGTTATTATGAAGCAGCGAGAAACTATACCCATTGCGGAATGATTGGTGTTATGTCCATCGGGGACTTTTCCTTGAGCAGTGCGGATAGAGATGCCAAAGCTTTAAGCTATTAAAGAGCACAAGTCAAATCAAATCTTACCATCACACACAAACAAATATCAAAGTATTAAGGGTTAAAAACATGCGTGTTTACACAAGCTTACCTTGGTGGTCGGATCTTTCCTTGCAAGCCTCTTCAAATGTAGAGCCAATTCACTATCTACATCCTGCATTAACGAAGAATCAACATGGAACCAGATACTCAGCTCATCCGAAACGAGGTTGCACATGAACTCCCTTATTAATAGCAATTTTTTTTAAGCAAAATGGGAACTTTAGTCTCATCGGACCAACTTAAATCAGCATTTTAAAGCCAAGGAAAAAAATAATTAACTCCAATTAATTAAACTATCAAAGCATTAAGTTAAAAAAAATAACAGAAATTACACACATTCTACCAGTTGATTTAATTGCATTAAGCTTAAAAACAAGAACTTAATTAAATACTTCCAAAATTTAATAAATAATATGGAAAATGGAAAACGTACCGCATAGGGCTTAGAATCTTCGCTGGGGAGGGAAGCCTCGAGGCGAGAACCGCCGACGTAGCCACCGAAGCCCACCGTGGCAGTAGAACCCGACGGCACCAGCGACGCCGCCAGACTATCAATATCCATATAACAAAATATTAAACACATAGATATCGATGGAAATTTTGAGAATTTAAAAGCCAAAATTCTCATTTTTGTTTACCTGCTGCTTGAAGGGCGTGCCTTGCTCCTAGCTGCATCTCCTTTCTGTTTCCCCATTACTGTTTACTTCTTCAGAATCGAGTCGATACGACACCGTTTGGAGATGGAGATGCAGATGGAGTGACTTGCAGAGCAAGAGGAGGAAGAAGAAGAAGGAGAGTTGCGATTGCAATTTGCAGAGCTGGTGATTGTTTACAATTCGAAACGACGCCGTCAGGTGTGGTGGTCCGAACGTGGGAAGGTTCTCGATATCAAGTGCGGGAAGGTATATGATATGTTGAGAATGCCAGCCAATAAGATGTATGGTCCAAGAAAGGAAAGGGGTATTTTTGTCAGTTAAGATCCACCTAGTCGCTTGACCGGTCTATCTCTTCGGAAATGGATCGATTCCTTCCTTTTAATCCACTAAATAAGAAACATCGCTTCCTCTTAATCCATCAAATCAGGAGATCCGTGAGATTAAAATTTGATCCAACGGTTAAAGTTATTATAACTTTTAAAATGGACCCCTTTTTGTAGCTATTTGATCAAATTTTAACGGTACGGATCCCCTGATTTTATGGATTAAGAGGAAGGGATCCGGAAATGATCTATTTCCTATCTCTTCCTACTCAAAATTCTTCGCAGCCGATTCATAAAATTGTGTGCTACCGATTATATTGCAAATCATTTTGTAAACATTATTTTCGAAAAAATCAATTAAAATTAATGTTGTTTAGTAAATTAATTATTGTCAATAGATTGATGATTTAAATACTACAAATGATTGACTAAATAAACTGTCTATGTATTTAGTACATTTTGATTGTGTCCTTAGTTTTAATTGATTTTTTTTTTTTACAGAGATTATATTTACAAAGTAATGTAGGATATGATAGATCAGGATCATAAGTACGAAATTCTGCAAACGAAAAATTTTAAGTAGAAATTTCCTACTTATCATTGAGCAACCAAGTATTATTAAAAAAGAAATCATAGGAGAAGATTGAGAGGTTGTTGCATGTTTGGTCGTAGAAGTGTCGGTTATAAGCACGAAATTCTGTGAAAGAAAGAATTTGAGTAGGAATAAAAAGAAATCGTAAGAGAAGGTTGAGAGGTTGCAGCTACTGCCACTGCTGCACTACTCGACTTGAAACATGTAAGTTCATACCTAAGACAAGTAACTGGAAAATCCTAGCCAGTTTCAAACCTTTGCAAACTTCAAAAAATCATAGAATTTGCAGCGGTAAAATCATAGAATTTGCAGTGAAGACCACAATTTCTTTAAAAGAACAGCAAAACCTATGCTACTTGATCATAGATCTTTAAAAAGTGATGCTGAAGTACACCATATTGCGCCTAATAGCTGACAACGAAATGTAATCCAACTCTTGAACGGGAAAAATGGTTCCAGAGATCATGACCTACTGACCAATCAGTCTGTTTATAAGTATCGGGGGCTTTAACTACTTCATGTCTTCGCGTCTCGTTGATTCTGCCCCTGCTAGGTTGTATTGTAGCATTGAGAATTTTGAAAACGTTCAATGCCAGGTCTTCTTTAATCCGGGATCAATCGAGAAATATTACAATCAAGGCTGCTACCAAAGCATGATCCACAGGTCCAGGAAATATGGTCAGTCGAAATTTTCCCCTCTTTGGCATAAGCTGGTGCAATTTGTACATAAGACTCGTCTGCAGCAAGACATAACAAAAGCATTCAGACAATATCTCATAACCAAGAAACAGCAACTTACACAAACTTCTAGAGAGTAGCATTGCAAAGTTCAAAAACCATAAAATCTTAGAACTTTCGACATAAATGCTTATTTGCTAATCAGATAATTACATGTGACCTTTCATGAACAAGTTACCAAAACGATCTTGTATGATGATCAGGTTAAAAAGACGTCGCTCAAATCTTTATACACAGAACCACACATTTGTTGCTGAGATCTCGGAACTTGTTTCATATCACCATGCTTTGCAAAAGCAGTTAAATTCCAAAGAAAGGTGCAGATCCAAGGACATTACATTGATAAATCAACTTCCCAAGTTTTAAATTATAGCAATGATCCCATAACTCAACTTCCCCATTTCTATTTGACGACACCACCACACATATATCTACAACAACACTCTTTCTATAAAGCTAATGGTTGTGCTAATAAAATTTAGAAACACACAAACAGGACCGGTTAAAATTCCAACAAAAGATAGAACGGAGGTAAAGTACATGTGAAACCGCAGTTGAGTGCCCTCTCCCGGGTTCCATTTTCGATTAAAAGTTTGTAACTAGATCCATTTGTGTATATTTCTCAGTAAACTTTAAGGCAACAGTCTTCGGAAACCTATTTTTGTTTAGAACTTAGAACATAGAAGGTGTACCAAGTTTGGCAGTCAAATTCCCTCTAGCCAATAATCATATGCAAGCAACTCAGACAACTGCTTAACTTAACTGAAGTTTGTCAAATAAAACAATCCCTGGTTTGCTATGGCCCGTTTGAAAATGCTTCATAATAAACCATTTTGCTCATAAGCGCTTTTACGGGAAGCATTTTTGGTTATCCATAAGTACTTTTGGCCATTCTAAAAACATAAATTTCAATTCTGGCAATGGATTCAAATTCTACACAACATAAAAGCAAATCATACCTCAGCAACTATCTCATTGCCTCTGTAGATGGTGCAAGATCTCTGGAAAGGAAAGCCCTTCACTTTGAAATCACAGGCTGAATCTGCTGAGTCCTCACCAGCAAGAAACACTTCCAACTCGGTTCTGGTAAGCTTATTTTTCGTTCTATTCACTCTAAATTTCAAGTCTTTCTCTTCACTATCACCCCCTTTGTATCCTTCCCAGCACCCATGCTACAAATCCCAAAAGAAAAAAAAAAATCAGAACCCAAAGGAGAAAAACAAAGAGAAGTTTTTGCCGGGAAAATATTTTCTAGGGAAACAAACAGGGGCCACAGAGGTGACTTACATCTTTACGGCGCAAAGAAAACAGAGGATTTCCGGCGGCGTCAAGCAACACGCGCTTGTGAGAAGTGGTCTTCAGAGATTGATGGGTGACTTTGTAAACGGTGCTGCCGGAGGAATCGAGGAAACCCAATTCGCCAACTGGAACGCCGGGATGCTTCTTGGAGACAAAGAGATCGACCGGGATTTGTGAACTCGTGGGATCAACAGGGACTGAAGCTGGAATGATGTCGGCCATTTTACAGAAGCAAGGGATTCATTTGAATTCAACTGAGTTTTGGGAATTTTGGAAACTGGGTTGATTTATTTGGTGTGGAAAGATTTGGGTTTTTGGCATGGGAGGCTGAAGAAATAAGAAAAGATTGGTCCTTCAGATGGCTTGTTGAACTTTTTGACCAAAAGAGAAAGGCTGGTGACCTGCAAATAAAGAGAAAATTGTAATAATAGTTAACTAAAAATTCATGACAATTAATTTCTTAACTCATCAAAACGTGTAGTTATGGTCGTTTTCATCAACTCTGTTAAAACTTCCATCAAAATGAGTCAAGTGCCACGCACGTGAGATCAGAATCAAGGAGAAATTATAGGAAACTAAATGAAAAATGGTACAAATAGTCCCTCAACATTAACTCAATTGAAAAAATAGTTACTGAATTTTTGCCCAATTTGAGCAACGGTTCCTCAACTCTAACCCAATAAAAGTTAGAGAGCAACATATTTGCCCCTGCTTCTTCAGGTTCTGGCTCAAGTAATTCCTCCCCAACACCCCTTTGCTAGCTCTGAGTTCTTGTGGGAGCAACATGAGAATAAAAATGCCGTTGAGAAGTCTTGCGTCCGGCTTTACCGGCATCCTCTCTAGCTATGAAATTATAGGCCTCACTGAAACGCTTCTACCGTGCTAGGAGATCCACCATGCATGTGTAATGCTCCATCATGGATGTGATTGAGTACTTATGCACCATGGTATCGAAAACCCTCCATCCTTCTTGTACTAATCCTGCATGACTGCATGCATACAAGGCCCCCAAGAATGTGATCTTGTTTGGTGCAAGACCTTCCATTTCCATTGTGTCAAATGCCTTCAAAGCTTCTATTCCCGGCCTTGTTTTCCGTACCCCGCAACCAAAGCAGTCCATGAAACTACATTCTTCAAAGGCATGTTCTTGAAACATAAGCAGGCATCTTCCATGCAGCCACATTTAGCATACATGTCGATAATCGCATTTCCAACGTCTCGTTTCAACATGCGCTCAAACAAGTCAATCGCTTCCGGCGTTACGCTAGATCAACACAGCCCAGAAATCATGCATGCTGTTGGTTGCAATCACATCTCTCTCAGGCATCGAACAACAGCCGGGCTACTTTGATACAGTTGCATTTAGAGTACATGTCGAGAAACGACGTCATTAGATTATCACGTCGCTGTGAAATTGATTGCCTTCTTTGATTGCAGAAATTCTTGCGCGAGCTCGAACAATTGCTGAGAGAAGAAACTGTTGTTTTGAAGCCATGTTTACAGACTGGTTGAAACAATGCTATCGCTTGACGATTTTGCCCTTGGTGTATAAGATTAGTGATTGCTTTGGCATTCGATAAAGTTGTACGGATCATTTTACCAAAGGTTATTTTGGGAATTGAGTGTGGTAAATTAGAACCGTGTCTTGGCAACCTTCATAGGCTTCATTTGAAATTGTAGGGGAAAATATTCACTTTGAGGCTCTTAACATGATGATATATGTATTCGAGAATTGTGTCTATTGATTATGACAATGCCCTCATCTTGATCATCCAAAACGCTAAATCTCTACGCCCATAAATTATAATAACTCATAATATTGGTAAAAGAAACATAACAATATACTTGTGATCTTAACTCAAATATTTTTCAACAAAATCGAGTGGCACTCGACCAAATAATCAGTAGATAGCATTCATTCATTCATACAACATCGTTGAAACAATGTATTTGTTTCGATCTGTTCCATGTCTTCTTAGTTCTTTTCTGATATACTCCCTGTTCAAATTCCTATATCTCTTCTTCTTCTTTGATATACTCCCTGTCAAAGTAGAACTCAACTAAGAACAATGTATATATAAAGAAATAAACTAAATCAAAATGACAAAAGCGAATGATTCCTTACAATTAATTATTAATCTTTGAACATGATGTAAAGAGCATACGTGTTGTGGAAAACGTCATCTCTATTCAATTTTCTTCGACTTTAGTTTTGCTTTGTTGACATGTTTGATTGTTTTAGGGTGTAAAACAACCACGAGTTTAAAATTATAGATTCTAATCTGAAATTGGTTATCGCTTCTACTTTTAAAGGGTGGTTTGGGAGTGAGGTGCTTAAAAAAAAGCACCCATGAAAAAAAGCTGTGAGGGTTTTAGGTGTTTGGTAAATTGAAAAAAAAATGGCTTATTTTGGAAGCTGTTCGTTGGATGTGTGGGCACACGAGAAATGATAAGATTAGGAATGAGGATATCCGGGGTAAAGTAGGAGTAGCCGAAATTGAAGGAAAGATGAGAGAAAATCGGTTACGGTGGTTTGGACATGTGCAAAGAAGGCCTACTGACGTTCCGATTAGAAGATGCGACTATGGGACAGAGGTTCAGGGCCGAAGGGGTAGAGGAAGACCTAGGAAAACTTTGGAAGAGACTCTAAGAAAAGACTTAGAGTACTTAGATCTAACGAAGGACATGACACAGGATCGAGCACAATGGCGTTCTAAGATTTATATAGCCGATCCCACTCAGTGACTTGGATTTTCCAAGTCTCCAACCGAGAAGTTTTCCTCACTCGGGAAATTAAGGGAAACACTACCCCAACCTACATGCTCCACTCAGAAAGCTTCAACATACAAGCTTTAACAAAAGAAAATTCAAAGAACTTAGCGAAGAAGGCTTTGGTGTATTTAACACAATGCGTTGAAATGAAGGAAAGCTTATTTATTGATATCCCCGATAAGCTACAAATATGTACATATACATGAGTCAAAATAAGCACACAAGAGGGAGCCTTCACAAAGGTTGCTTAGGAGAAGTCTCAGCAGTCGGTAGAGCCCCAGAAAGAGAAGGCACCGGAGGGGGATCATTTGGAGCCTCAGTACTGGACAGAACCCTAGAAGGAGGAGGCATCAGAGGTTGATCATTTGGAGCTTCATTACGCGGTACAGCCCCAGAAGACGAAGGCAATAAATGCCTTTGGAACAAACCCACAAATCTCTGATGATCAAGTAAAACCTGACCATCAGTTTCCTTCATCTGGTCAAGCTTCCTCTTCATGTTTGTAGCATAGTCATGTGCGAGCCGGTGCAACTGTTTATTCTCATGCTTGAGCCCTCTAATCTCCTGTTTGAGACTCATCACTTCAGCCGCCAATGATTCAACTTGGCGGGTTCGAGCAAATAGGCGTTGGGCCATATTAGACACAGAACCTGCACACTGAACACTGAGAGCCAGCGAATCCTTAACAGCTAACTCATCAGACCGTTTGGAAAGTAGTCTGTTATCTTTGGGAGTGAGAAGGTTCCTGGCCACCACCGCAGCGGTCATATCATTCTTCATCACGGAATCCCCAACGGTAAGAGGACCAGTAGGGGAGACGAAGGATGGGCGCCATATGTTGTCTGGAGAAGGCGGGGCTGCCTCTTCAACAAGGTTCAAGTCAAAACGACGGTCGGAGGGGCCAGACATTTTCAAAGGTGTTGAAGAGAGAAGAGGTCGGACAAATCAAGATCTTAGAAGTGCAAGAATGAAGCTTCTACTGGTGGAGATTCAAGTGTGCTTTGGAACTTAATGCCAGCCCCTATAAAAATCTGCACTCGACGAAGCTTCAGAAATCGAAGAGGCGCCTGCTCAGAAATCGAAGAGGCGTTTGCTTTCTCAAAAGCTGGGCTGCTTAGAGATCACGAGGGTTGATCTCAGAAATCGAAGAGGCGTTTGCTTTCTCAAAAGTTGGGCTGCTCAAAGACCACGAAGGCCGATCTCAAAAATCGAAGAGGCGCTCGCTTTCTCAAAAGCTGGGCTCCCCAGAGACCACGAGGGCCGATCTCAGAAATCGAAGAGGCACCTACTTTTCCAGCCTTTTCCAGCCTTGTCAGCACCTGTCACACGCACACTCAGTTTTTGCGGAAATTATGGGCATTCTGTCAAAGACTTCTGGGGAAGTAGAAAACACATGAATCTTACTGTTCAATCACCCACTTCTCACACGCAACAATAGCTCATGGGTACCACAGATAACTTTGCCAAAGTTCTCTGCCAAAGTTGAGCACGTGAAGCTTGCAGCTCCCACTACATCGCTCTGACCAAGAAGGGTAAAAGAATAGCAAAGAAACAGCACTAACAAAGTTTAGACCCATAAATTTTGAAGGTCTAGCTACCATATTATTACCCACAAGGGTAAAGGAACAGTACCACTGCTGGATAATTGGAAAGTCCCTGTGTGTCAACCTCTGTGCTTCGTGGCAAGGTAGACTAGCAAACATGCCCAACCTTTACTCACATTCGAGAAAACACTCCCAATAAGATTGCTTGCTCCAAAATCGAAGAGGCACCGTCCTCCGAATCTCGAGAGCCAGACTCCCAACATGACTACTTTTTCTTAAAAATCGAAGAGAGGGTAAAGGAACAGTACCATTGCTGGATAATTGGAAAGTCCCTGTGTGTGTCAACCTCTGTGCTTCGTGGCAAGGTAGACTAGCAAACATGCCAAACCTTTACTCACATTCGAGAAAAACACTCCCAACAAGATTGCTTGCTCCAAAATCGAAGAGGCACCGCCCTCCGAATCTCGAGAGCCAGACTCCCAACATGATTACTTTCTCAAAAATCGAAGAGACACTGCTCCCCGAATCTCGAGAGCCAGACCCCCAGCATGATTGCTTTCTCAAAAATCGATGAGGCATCGTTCTCCGAATCAATCGAAGAGGCGCTCGCTTTCTCAAAAGATGGGCTGCTCAGAGACCACGAGGGCCGATCTCAGAAATCGAAGAGGCACCTACTTTTCTAGCCTTGTCAGCACCTGTCACACGCACACTCAGCTTTGCAGAAATTATGGGCATTCGGTCGAAGACTTCTGGTGAAGTAGAAAGCACATGAATCTTACTGTTCAATCACCCACTTCCCACACGCAACAATAGCTCATGGGTACCACAAATAACTTTGCCAAAGTTCTCTGCCAAAGTTGAGCACGTGAAGCTTGCAGCTCCCACTACATCGCTCTGACCAAGAAAGGTAAAAGAATAGCAAAGAAACAGCACTAACAAAAGTTTAGACACATAAATTTTGAAGGTCTAGCTACCATATTATTACCCACAACTGTAAAGGAACAGTACCACTGCTGGATAATTGGAAAGTCCCTGTGTGTCAACCTCTGTGCTTCGTGGCAAGGTAGACTAGCAAACATGCCCAACCTTTACTCACATTCGAGAAAACACTCCCAATAAGATTGCTTGCTTCAAAATCGAAGAGGCACCGTCCTCCGAATCTCGAGAGCCAGACTCCCAACATGACTACTTTCTCAAAATCGAAGAGAGGGTAAAGGAACAGTACCATTGCTGGATAATTGGAAAGTCCCTGTGTGTCAACCTTTGTGCTTCGTGGCAAGGTAGACTAGCAAACATGCCCAACCTTTACTCACATTCGAGACAACACTCCCAACAAGATTGCTTGCTCCAAAATCGAAGAGGCACCGCCCTCCGAATCTCGAGAGTCAGACTCCCAACATGATTACTTCCTCAAAAATCGAAGAGACACTGCTCTCCGAATCTCGAGAGTCATACCCCCAGCATGATTGCTTTCTCAAAAATCGAAGAGGCATCGTTCTCCGAATCTCGAGAGCCAGATACCACAGACCACTTTTTCAAAGTGCTCTGACAGAGTTAAAACATGTGAAACTGGCAGCTCCCACTACCGTGCTATGACCAAGCAGGGTAAAGGAATAGCATTACTACTTGTTGTTAGGGAGACTCCTATATATGTCGACCTCCATCCCCAACGGACAGGCAGACCTGCAAAAATGCTCAACCCTTCATCATATCTGAGAGGGCACTCCCAACGAAGCCTTTCGAAATATTCAGCTTTCTTTCCCCCCGATAATACCTCTGCAAACAAGCTATACTAGAGCAAGAATATCTCATATCATCAGGGTTAAAAGCAAGAGTATCCCATATCATGCTTTTTCCCTGTCTTTTCTTTTGGCCTTGTTTTTACCTGCAAGACAAGGAGAAAGAGAGCAATCAGTCAGCACTTGGAATCAAGCTTCCAGCCAGGAACTGACTGCCTGGAACCCCTTACCTGATTACTTACCTGGCATTGCTCTCGAGTACTCATCTTCAACATCTTATGTTTCCAGGGAAGATTCCGCATCTGCTTGAGGAACAAATAGGGCAAGTGCGAAGGATACAAGGAAGCATGTGGAGACAAGCGTAACAGCACACGTGCCGATACATTCATTACTCTGTCAAAAGCAAAAGTATCCCATATCAGCAGGGTGGAACGTACTCTAGATTTGATGGACTTGTTTTGACCCTCAAATTCTTCAGTTGGCCTTATACTCTGGAGGAAACCAGAAAACCCTCCAGTTCAGTTCAAGAATAAGCCTGTGGAAAGTTACTTCTTCAAAAGCAAAAGTATCTCATATCATCTCTTCTCATTTTTCTTCTCTTTATCCTTCATGCTGCTGCAAGATGGGGAGAAGGTGAACAATCAGTCGGAGCTCTGATTGCTTACCTTGTTTATCACCTCTTTCAGCAGACCCCCTAGCTCGGCGACTTGGGGGACTCCTACTACCTGGTTTGTATCGCGCTTGACCAAGCCTGAAACTACAAGTAAGCTTCAAGTGAAATTGATACATTACCTTGTGTGCATCTCCACCAGTTAAAGATACCACCCCTGGATGGAGGAAGAGTACTTCCAGAGAAGATGCCACATCTACCTATGAGACAGATAAGGCAAGTCAAGACGACACCACACACTCCGATACTTAGAAGTTTCGTGATTACGAGATCATTCTCCCACAATATTTTCCTAATGGCATTTGTACTAAATCATTCACTTGTACTCACTAAATGAGAGCTTGAACCTATGTACTTGTGTAAACCCTTCACAATTAATGAGAACTCTTCTATTCCGTGGACGTAGCCAATCTGGGTGAACCACGTACATCTTGTGTTTGCTTTCCTATCTCTATCCATTTATATACTTATCCACACTAATGACCGGAGCAATCTAGCGAAGCTCACAAAAAGCGATCGTTTTCGCTACCTAGGATCTATCTTGCAAGAGAACGGAGAATTAGATGGAGATCTCAACCATAGAATACGAGCTGGATGGAAAGAGTGCATCCGGCGTGTTGTGTGACCGTCGTAGGCCACTGAAGCTCAAGGGAAAAATTTTATAGGACGGCAATAAGGCTAGCGATGTTGTATGGCACAGAATGTTGGGTGGTGAAACATCAACACGTACACAAAATGGGTGTGTAGCGGAGATGAGGATGCTTCGTGGGATGTGTGGGCACACGAGAAAGGATAAGATTGGGAATGAGGATATCCGAGGTAAAGTAGGAGTAACCGAAATTGTAGGAAATATGAGAGAAAATCGGCTCCGGTGATTTTGAACATGTGCAAAGAAGGCCGACTGACGCTCCGGTTCGAAGATGTGACTACGGGACAGAGGTTCAGGGCCGAAGGGGTAGAGGAAGACCTAGGACAACTTTGGAAGAGACTCTAAGAAAAGACGTAGAGTACTTGGATCTAACGGAGGACATGACACAAAACCGAGCGCAATGGCGTTCTAGGATTCATATAGCCGACCCCACTTAGTGGGAAAAGGCTTTGTTGTTGTTGTTGTTGTTGTTGTTGTTGGAAGCTGTTATGAGAATAAGCTGAAATCAAAGGAAAAAGCTGAAGCAGCTATTTGCAACTTTGGAAAATTGGCTTTTTTTTCAAAGTACACGGAGCTACAGTGCTCCTTTAATGAAAATACCCACTATCAGACTGTTTTTTTTTCCAAAAGCATTTTTACAAAAAAGTTTACCAACACTCTGCTGATTTATTTCATAGCCGCTTATTCTCACATCAGCTTTTTTCAAAGCACAACAATACCAAACCAGCCCTAAGTCATTTTAGATATACCTTAAACATAAGCAACCATGTCAATAAATAAGATTAACGCTGAATGTACGCGAATACAAAAGAAAATATATTACCTCAGGTCCACATGAGAATACATTTCAATTAGAAAAGCATACAATTGTAACAACAGACTTGGGAAGAACGAACTAAGCTTTTTTTCCACTTGTTCTTCTGTCTGCAGCAATTTTTAAATATAAAATAATTAAACTTCTAATAAAAGGTCGTACCCAGTGCACAAGGTTCCCGCTTTACGTAGGGTCTGGGAGAGGTGAATATCGGCTAGCCTTACCCCCATTTTATGGAGAGGCTGCTCCCAAGTCTCGAACCCGAGACCTACCGCTCATGGACGAAGGCACTTGCCATCGCACCAAGTGCGACCTCTAAAATAATTAAACTTCTAATAACACATTAAAATTAGAAGAAAAAAATTACCGAAAATTAATAATTATTTATAAATATACCAGATGTTCTTCATGGTCCAAATGATCATTAACCTCGAGACAAGCATTGCTTGAGAATTCAAGTGCTCCCCACACATTATTCTCATATTCTTTTTTACTCAACACACCATGAAAACCTTCCAATTCACCCACAGCTCCTTTGACATCAAGACTCTCATCCCACCGCATGATGAACAACTCTTTAATGTTTTTATGTTCACCACGTTGAACATGTTGGAGATGGATCAAACCATCAATATAATAGTGATACCTCTCGACGGACGATCGAAGGAGGGGATGATAAAGTAATTGCTCGAATCGGTACCTTAACATAAAAGAAGGAAATAAATTCAAGCAATGTACTTAAAAAACGAATTCCTGTAAATTACAGCTTGATGCTTGTGCATAGCTATCAGAAATGTTGACAAAATTTAACAATCTTACCACTCCCTTTCACAACGAAGCATGTTTAAAAAGTTGGACAACTCTTTTGTTCTTCCGCGATTTTTGCCGAGCATTTCTTTCATTAACCACAGAAATCCGTGTCTATAACTTGTAGCATTAGCATCGACAATAATTGGGATGATCGCTTCATAGTTTTCATCGATTTGTATATCCTCAACTCTCAGGTAGCCACGGTTTACACCTTTCAACTCCATTCGAACAACGAACTTAATAACAGACCTTCAAAATTAAAAGAATCTGATTAACAACATCAAAAAAATTTACCACAGTTAAAAATTTAGTATCACAATATTCTGTGACTAAAAATATTACCGAATTATTTTTTGATACAGATGAACAACACGATTCCTGTGCCACGGATCTGTCTTCGCCAACATCACACCTAAGTTACAAGGAAAATAGTGGTATGTTGCCATATTTTTTCTCTGTCGAAACCTGATATTATCATAGAATAATCCAAAGCACAATCACTTGAGTTAGAATTTCGCCGTTCTTGTAGATTAAAATAGTTTAGAACATCGAGAGAGAAAACCCGTACCTTTGAATCGGCTAGAAATGCCTTGTTAATTAAGTGATACGACCCAATTCTCTAACCCCTTAATCAACCTGCAAGTCACAAAGGATAGAGAGGGAGAGGGAAGAAAGAGAGAAAGAGAGAGTAGAGCTCTTGAATTGTTTTTTGATTTTGTATTTTTGTTTGTAAATTTTGATCTAACTTTTACATCCAAAACATGAGCTTATATATAAGTTTCCACTAAAACAAATTGCCAGCTGGCAATAACTAATCACTCCCTAATACTCATATTTAGTCTGCTATTACATCACTAATTGTGATTGAAATATAGGATCATAACAATAGGATGGATGTTTCTTATGAAGAGCAGTAGGTGGTGAGAAGAAAGAGATCTTATTAGAGATAATCGAAAACAGTTGTTAAGATTGAGTAATAATGCATAAAAATGGAAGTCTTAACTTAAAAACACAAAACCACGACTTGACCTATGCTTGGCAAACAAGGAATTCCTAGTTTTACTCTCTTATCAGACAAGGCAAGCGAGTGTTTACAAATAATTAAAACAAAATTATGATTTCTTTGTTAATTAAAAAAGGTTTTGTCCAACAAGGCGTAAACTATTAATGGGGTGGACTTCATCAACAACAAAGGCTTATTCTATTAAGTGAATCGGCTATATAAATCTTAGAACAACATTGCACTCGGTTTTGCGCCAAGTTTTCAGTTAACTCCAAATACCTTATGTCTTTTCTTAAGGCATTTGTTCAAGTATCCCTAGGTCTTCCTATACCCCTTTTCTCCTGAGTCTCTATTCTCTAACCGGCGCATCTGCAGATCTTTGTTTTTGTTAGTCTCCATCTCAAAACATTTCCTATACTAATTACCACTACTGCATGTTATAATATAGATGAGCGACAAATAGATGGTAACACAATGTGGACAAAACAATGGAAAAATGGACTAGCAATAATATAACAGAAGAAAGATTTCCATGGCCATACTAATAGTTCCATCGGCATAAGGCTGTACAAAAGAAATTCATATTCACACATGTAACCACTAATCCACCATTAACTTCCGACACTGATTTAATTGTTCATGAGATATTACTGCAACGTAAAAGGATCCAGGTTACAATTCCTCGCACGAAGAAAGTAGCTACATGAAAAAGTTTCACCTATAAGACCATATTGCGGTCTTCACCATCATCACTTGGATCAACATCGTAATCAAAGTCATGGCCGTCATTGTTTTCATCATACATATCATCTTCAAGAAAGTCATTTTCTTCTAAATCCTCGGGTTCTGATGATTTGTCGCTGGAACTCTCCTTCTCTTCTGATTCATCATCGGAGTCTTCGTTCTCTGATTCCTCTTCTTCCTCTTCAGAGATCTCATCCGGATAATCATTAAGCGGGTTGTTTTCAGCTGAAAACCCCCCAAACCAGTTAAGAGCAAGAATAAAGAGATCTCCTAAAAAGAGGATACGTGAAAAGATTGTTTAAGATTACCATTTGAATCATCAGATTCATATTCGGATTCATCAGGCCCATCATAGAAATCCTCGTCATCAACTTGGACCCTGTACCGAAGTTATTATGATCAGTTTAACAAGAAATTAAGGCGGAAGCATGACAAATATAGTACACAAGATACTTACAAGGGGAATGGATTTGAAGATAATTCGACAGCCATATCACTTTCCTCCTTCACAGCATACAAGTCATAAACATACTCATCTTCAGAATCTACAAAACACATACGAGAAACCATCAAACAGTAACGAGAAAATAATGAGTTATGGGTCACCACTAGTATTAATACAAAGGCCGAAATCAATATACATCTCTACAAGAACCAATTACAAGTGCGGACCAAGGCAAAAATGCTATATAGAATCCTATTCTTCTACCTTGGGTCCAACTAATGTCACTATTATATGGGCGGCACCTATTGACACTTTTCAATCATTTAAATGTAAAACCAACCTTGTTTGGAACTGTTAGTGTATAAATCTGATTCGATCTCGGAAGCGGCAGATGGGATGAACTCTCTCAGCAGAGGCAAGTAACTGTTCAAAATCTTCTGGTCCTCCAAAGATATTTCACTGCATTACAAATTTACAATCATAGGGAGTGTAATTTTCCAGTAGATTCAAGTACAAATGGGCAAGTGAATTCCATAACTAAAAATAACTTACTCCTTGGGTTTTTCAGCAACGTCAACACGTATAACATCATAGACATGACAAATTTCACGTAAATTCTCATGTGATGTTTCTTTGTTTCCTCTTCTGCTCCTCCATATTTGTTCAAAACGCGCATTTTTTGCCACAACCTATTAGAAAGGACTTGAAATGAGACAGCAGCCAAGAAAAAATATTGCAGAACAAATTTCCAAGTACGCAACTTTTCATAAAAGAATACAAGAAGCATGGATGGACAAGTAGTCCATGAAACACCTAAAATATCAGACGAAACACAAAAACTCATTGAGAAAACCTAAACTAACAGACAGAACAGCATCGTAGAAATACATATGGCACCAATCAAGTAAAATCACACTAAAGGAATGTTCTTGAAATGTTAGGCAACGGAGATCATTTTTAAATCATCGCCTCAAGCATATAGCTACTTTAAACAACAAAAAACCCAAACAAAACAAAATGAATGAAAAAAATTTGTCCACTCTGAGAAACTTATTTTTGGGATTACCTGTGTATCAATCTGGCATTACGTGATTATCTATTAATTAAAAATGGACCATATGATAAAATGGCATCAATAAGCCGCATGTGGTTATTAGTCTTATTGTCAATCTATCATAAATAATGGTTTACAAACACAATTTTTAATCTAAAGAAGAGCAATCCATGTTTGTTTTTTTGAGAAGAAAAGAAGAGCAATCCATGTTTGTGGCAAATAAGTGTTAATTTTTTTCACAGAAACTAGCATAGTTTAAAGTTGCACGATCATAATTTGAAACACATCAGAACTGATTGCCTTACAATGGTTATTATCACAAGCAAATGATTGAACTGAGAACAATGGACAATAAACAAAATAAAAAGAATGAATGGGGCAACTGAATAAATAAGCCCAACATATGAAAATTTAGTGTGTCGTTATCTCTCTAAGACATGAAAGACAAATCATACTAATGGAAACACAAAGGGATAACAAATCCTATACTTGGTGGACTAATGAATACAATTAACTTATGCTATAAGTCTATATCACATACCTCCTTCCTCTGTCTGGCTTTAGACAAAATCAGATCTTGTTTCTGCTAATACAATGGGAATGAAATTATAAGTTCAAGTCATCTTAGGGACAGTACATTAGAAATCAAAGATGTAATAAAGTGTGTTAGACCAGGAGGAGGAGATAGATAGCTTACATTCTCCTTTCTCAGAGCGTATTTGCGTTCTCCAATCTTTGTTTTACGATCATGCACATCACCAGAATTAGGGTCCTAAAGAAACAGTGAGACATTTTCACCAACCTCTTAGTAGTAGGTGACATGGGAATCAGAGACAGCATCTTGCAATGGGAAAAACGAACTTGTTGATTGAGATAGAGAGAGAAAAGGAGTTTGTGGAGAAGGGAGGGGGGGAAGGGGTGGAGGGGTGGAGGGGTCACAAAGCCTTAAACAGTAAGATGAGTTACGTGGCATTCCCAAACACATGCTTATGTGAAACAGTTTACAAAACAAGAATAGTTATTGAACAACATTAAGAGATGGACAGCCCTACTCACCAGAAATGATTTCACAACGTCAACACTGGTGCCGAAGCTGCTTACTGTCTCTACATGCTGTACCAAAACCTTCTTGGTTTTCAGTTCTTCTGCTGCATTAAAAATATAAGAAATTAGCACCTTATTTTGTAAGAGTTCTAAAACTTTCCATCTTCTAATGAAATCTGCAAAATGACAAACCCCTACTCTAATCCATTGGAGACAACCAAAAATTGAAAGAAAAAAAGGGAACATTGTCAATCGCTAATAAACGGAACATTAAAAATGATAACTTCGATCATTTACAGCATACTTAGTAAGTAATCAATCTACAATTCCATTAACAACATATCCAACTCCTCATAAATGACTTGCTTTGATGGGTACACCGAAGATTACAACTATTTAGTGTACAATGTTTGAACAAAACACTTACGTCGAAGTGAACAAAAAAGTTGGATAACTTTTTGTTTGTCCAAATATCAGCAACTCTAGTAACTTCAGCACACACATATATAAACAAAACAACAATGCTTGACAAATACGAGCACGTTACCCATTCCAGCTGAATCCACCAACGGCTCATTACCCTTTCCAGCTGAATCCGACATTGACAGCTTCTCAAAATCCAACAACGGACGCTTCGCCGGCCTCTCATTGATTTCCAGCCCTACATTGCACAAAGTTCCAAAATTCGTCACAAATTTCCAATTTTTTCACACTTCACAAGTTCAAGCAAGTTCATTTTCCATTTTCCTACAGTTTCTCGGCAACCAAACAAGATAAAGAGAAAACTGGACACAAATTAAGTGCTACTCACAGAAAGCGTCGAGTGGGGACTGCAATGCCTTGCGTTTAACCCTAACGATCACCGGCTTGTCCTCCGACGGGTTGGGCGAAGCAGAAGAGCTCTCGGCGACCACCGCCATCCTGAGCTGCGATTAGAAATTTCGAATTAGGGTTCAGGTGGAGTTGGAGACGATGAAGGAGTAGAGAGACGAGCGCGGACTGGGAATTTTGTCGTGTTTCTGCAATTAAGAAATGGAAACGAATGGAAACGGTCGGGCCGGTTCGGTTCGGATCTTCAATGTATCGGGTTGTTGTGTGCGTAGGCCCAGTAGTATGG